CCATTATGTCAAAAAATGAGGGAGGAAAATACATTTCAAGCTCACACAAAGTAATAACAATTTATTTTTGCAATGTTGGTAAGATCTCAGGATCAATCACCTTACTACAAATTGACCTAAAGAAAAAACACAACTTAGTTATCGCACTCCTTACTTTATCTGGCAAAATAGAACGTATACCTATTGGTAGAAAATTCTCCATTATAACATGGCAATCATGTGTCTTTAAACTCTTTAACTTGAGGTATTTCATAGACACAAGTCTTCTAATATCTGAAGAGTATCCTTCTGGAACTTTAACTTCACTTAGAAACTTACACAATATGTTTTTCTCCTTTCTAGATAGAGTAAAAGCAGCAGGTGATAGATATGTTCGACTTCCTTTCTTCACGGGTCCTAGTTCATTTTGTATTCCCATCTTAAACATGGCCTCCCTTGCTTTAAAGCCATCCTTAGACTTTCCTTTAATATTGAGTAACGTACCAATAACACTTTCAAATACATTTTTTTCAATATGCATAACATCGAGAAAATGTCTCACATACAGAGACTTCCAATATGGCAATTCAAAAAAAAATAGATCTCTTCTTCCACCCACCTTTGAAAACCGTATGCGCAAAAGGCTTGCCAAACTGAGTACACACATATTTCACCTTTTCAAAAATTTAGTCACCTGACAATGCAGGTGGAGCTTTACGTTGTTTGGTGTCTCTATTACATGCTTTTCTCCACGCACGGTAGTGATGTTTAGAATGTAAGAATCTATGATGATCGAGAAACACATTCTTCTGACAAAGTTCTAAACGCGTCGTATCGGTTCCATCTTCACAAACAGGACACACACGTTGACCTTCAATGCTATACCCAGATAGATTCCCGTATGCTGAAAAATAGTTAATTGTGCCAAACAACATCGCCCTCAAATTGAAACTTTGTTTCCTATATCCATCATAAACCTCCACCCCGTTCTCTGCATCAGTTTCTCTGCATCGCTTACCAATCTCTCAAACATTTTGGGACAATCCTGAAGAGCTTCTTCAAGTGCATCTGTAATCTCTTCGACTCGATCAAAATTGTATGTATCTGTTTCCTTGTCGTCTGACGCATAGGCCGTACTACTTTTCTCCCCCGGTTCAATGTTGTCGTTACTTTTTTCACTGTGAAATATCCAACACGTATAACTTCTATCAATTTCACGCATTAGTAAATGCGATTTCAATCCATCTGCGTCAACCCGACCCACATAACAACAACCCAAGCAAGGACACTTCATTCGACTGGGGTCTTTGGCATGTTCAACAGCAAACTTAACGAATTCCAATACCCATTCTCGTACTCTTTTGACAATCGATCGACAGACATCCATTTTTTATCCATTTTTTTCTACTAATTCAAGTAAACAAAAACACTATAAACGGATTATTCCCTTTTTGTGAATTAAACGAATTATTTCTAGAAATTTATTTCTAGAGTTATTAACATGGACTAAAAAAAATATATCTATATAAAAATAATTGTGTTTTTTAATTGATTGATACATATAGAATTTGAACTTGACTTACCAAAGAAAGAAAAGGGGTTATTGGTGTTGACGACAGATGATGCGGCTTTGATGTTCTTCGAATCGGTGATGGTCTTTGACTAACTACACCAATACAAAGGGATCATTTAAAACAAGTTGTATATATATGGTTATAATAGCTTATATCCACAAACCTTAAGAATTTTTTCTTAGACAAGTTTTTTGTGAAAAATTGTATGAGAAACAAATCACTTATGAATCTTTTCTATCATATTATATTTCTTTCCAACAGAAACACAATATTTAGGAGCAATAATGCTTAAACAATTCTGAAATTTATATCAGTAAAATAGTATTAAAAGTAAAGAAACCAAGCAACCAACAAGTACAAAAATACTAGTTCATAGAGAATATAAACATGATAAACAATTCAGAAACCAATTAAAATAACAAAAAAATCCATCATCATCTTTTTTATTCCAAAACAAAGAACCAAAAGAAAAACATTCAGAAAGTTCTTACTTAATAATCATATACACATACATAGAGAGAGTAATACATAAATTATAATATATAACATTGCTTCCTCTTCTGACTTCTTATCACATTTGATCACAAACCAACAAAGGTGATACAAAATGCAATAATGCATGAAAATAATACAATGCAATAATGAAACATACAGAAACTGAATCCAAACTTCAAAAACAATAATATCTTAGACGTGTTACTGAAAGTGCAATAATGCTAAAATACAGAAAATGCAATAATGCTAAAAGTGTTGCTGTTATCAAGCCCTACCAAGAACTGAAAAATCAAAATGTATACCTATAACTCAATTATGCATACCTATAACCCAGTTTAGACATCAATAGGAGGATAGTGTCTTAGATGTTAGCATAATACATTATCAATAGGAGGATAACTCAGTTTGAACATCAATGGAGATAAAGACATTTTTAAGAAAGAACCTACCTTGAGAACCGACCGATGTGGGTGGAGGACAACCGAGAGAGACATAGGGAAAGGGTTGGTTGGACAGCGAAAATTTGTGAGAGGGAAAGGGTTTCTGTTTGTGAGAATGAGAGGGAAAGGATTTTCGTGTCCGTGAGTCTGTGAAAAGAGAAACAGTACACTGATTCTATTTTTTAATTTTAATTCATATGGCTTTAGACAACGCTTTTCAGAAGCGCTGGCTAATATGGGCCTTTAGCAGCACTTTTGAAAAACGCTGGCTAATGTGGTCCTTTAGCAGCGCTTTTGAGATTTTTTAATAAATTTTATATGACTTTAGACAGCGCTGTCTAAAGTGGTCTTTTACTATCGCTTTTGATAAAGTGTTTTCTAAAGCAACACTTTTAGCAGCGCTTTTTAAAAGCGCTGTCTAAAGTCACATTTTTAGCAGCACTTTTATTTGTTATTGTATACAGTTTCCGTGTTTTTTTTAAATTCACTTATAGCAGCGCTTTTGTATAAAAGCGTTGTCTAATGTGCACTGTTAAAAGCCATTTTTGGCGTAGTGTATGGCAATTTTTGAAATATTAAAAGTTAATAAATAAATATTAAATTATTGTATTTTTGCATTTGTGATGATTCGAACTCATGACATTTCATAAAGAGTAATAATATGTTTTAATCTTTGAAAATTGAAGATGAATTATGAGAGACGCTACATAAAAAAATAAATGATGTGACATAAAAAAGAGTTGAGATATCACAATAGAAGAGTAAAAATATTATAAGATAATTTGATACACTGAATTTAATAAGTATAAATAGATTGTACATAATATTATTGTATGTTTGTATGTTAGGGCACATAGGTACTTGTTTTAGTAAAGGGTTCATTCGTTTGAAATACTCCAACCGCACCTTCTTATTAGATGTACTAAACAACGACACACAACGAAGCAGCAATTTTTTGTTCGTGTATACGTAAAGACATAAAGAGTAAGAAAATTACACACTCTCATACATGCACTACTACATAACGAAGCTATACTGTCTTTTTGTAAAATTTATTTATAGGCTTCATTTAGTGAAGTTAATCTTATTTAAAGTCTAACTCGAATGTTGTGATTTTTTCTTGGCATATGTTATCTTTTAGACGCTAAGTTGTGTTTGTCACGAATGGCAAGGAGTTTGTAATTTGTCTAGGTCATGTCAAACCCGTATGTTATTATAGAGTTGCCTTTTCGCTTGGGAACACAATGTGTTTAGGTGGATGGATATGTCTACTCCACTTACGCGTTTGATCTTCAAGTTGGTATTTCTAGGTCTTAGCCTGGAAAAAAATATCTCATCTAAATTTAGTTTCAATCTAACATGTATTAGTTTGAACTATTTGGAAAAATATGAAATAATTTTTTTTTATTGATAAAGAAGGACAATTAATCATTGGCTAACTTTTATTATTATTTTGTTTTGGAATTAAGTTCATGTTCTAGTTGCAATTTTTTTATTTGTTTGATTAGGATTGTAATTAGGGTAGGGGTGGCGAACGAACATGTTCATCCTGTTTAGGCTCGTCCTGCAAAAGTCTGTAAAAAAATTAAGTGGGACAGACATAGTTAAAGATGAGGATCAAACTTAGGTCTGCTCTGCAAAAACGTGAATGCGACACGGGGAAAGCCCGCGGACACTGTAACTTTTAGACTTAAAAATACAAAATTTTATACTAATAATCATGTCCGCAAAAGCCTGCGAAAAAAACGAGGCGGGGCGGTCACATTAAAGAGTGAGGTCAAAATTCTTAGTCTGCTCCACACTAAAGTGCGGGTAAAATGGGATGTTTAATGGGTTGAGCCCGTTTTGCCACCCCTAATTAAAGGTAACAATTAAATTCATTAAAACAAAATTCATTCAATCAATCCATCAAATTCATTCGCAACATAAAAAGTAAGTTAATGGATTGAATAAAGTCAATCCGTTTACATACATGCATGAATCCAATCCATCAAATATATTTGAATGATCCAATAAATTATTTTGATCATATACTTTAAATCCATTAAATAATTAAAAAAATAATAATAAAAACTTATATTTTTTTTTATGAAAATACAATAAATCAATTTTTTTATAGCAATACAAAAAAAAATTGATTTTTTTTACCAAAATACAGTAAATTATATATATATATATATATATATATATATATATATATATATATATATATATATATATATATATCGTTGGTACGTACGTACATAATACACTACAGCACACGCATACATATTGTAGACGCAGAGATGGGACCATTTCCTTTGTTGTTCTTAAAATTTGAGCCTTTTCATTGACGACAGGATCCGACTCTACCGCTTAACATCTTCAATCTTCATTTTCACTTTTATTTATTTATTTATTTATTTCTTCATCAATAATATCTTGTTATATTCCTTCATCACTTTTTCTTATCTATATAATTCTGTCTTCTTTTTGTCTCTCAATTTTCAATTAACCTCAAACAGTAAATCTCATGGAAATGGAAGACCATCATCACCATCATCATCATCATGAACATCATCAACATAACTATGGTAGTAGTACTAGCAATACTATAACTGATCTCACACAACTCATCAACATTGGACAAAGATCAACAACAGCAACCACTCACTTTCCCACGGCGGAGCTCTTCCCTTCCGGCAACCACCCGAATCTGGCAGTAACGGCTACACAACAACAATATGAGATGATGATGTTTGGTCGTCAAGTAGCCGATATATTGCCTCGGAGTCTTCATGACTTTGTTTCAACAGATTCTGCTACTGCGGTTGCTACTACCACTACAACCAGTGCTTCAACTCCTTCTCTTAGTGGTAATTTAGAGGCTGAAACTACTGCTTGCATTGGAGGAGGAGGAGGAGGAAGTATCGTCGATGCCTCCACCGGTAGATGGCCGAGGCAAGAGACTCTTACTCTTCTTGAAATCAGATCTCGTCTTGATCCTCAATTCAAAGAAGCTACTCAAAAGGGCCCTCTTTGGGATCAACTTTCTAGGTAGGTTTACCATTTTCTTCTTCAAATTCAGTATATGTTGTTGTTGTTGTTGTTTTTCACTCTCTATTCAATTTTAGACTATTCATCATGATAATGATGGTGTAGTTAGAAAATGTTTTAAGTTCATATTCCAAGATTAGTACTTTTTTCCTTTTTGAAATATTGTACCCTCTTTTTAAGTGCAAGTTTTTTTTTCTTCTCTTTTGTTACTTAATTAGTTTTAACTTGTTTAAAAAAAATTCATTCAACTTTCTGATTCTTCTGCATTTATAATTCAACCTTACATGGGATAACAACAATCAATCACAGCCTCTTCCTTCCAAAAACTCATTCCAATTGACAATTTGAATGACAATGCATAAATTTAATAGCATTTTTTTAAGCAAAAGCTCATTGTAGTATGTGCTTTAGTTATTTGGTAATATTCTCAACTCCATCTAGGGTTCAATTTTTCTTTTGTGTAAATTACATATCTTCTGCGTGCAACTGCGGAGATCAATATCTTGAAATAGTCGAGATCCGTTTAAGAGGTTGATTTCTCTTCAAATATGTTTTTCCGTATGTATCGGCCGAAGATCGAACTATTTGTCTCACACATCATGATGGTACTAGCTAGGGTTAACATTTATGGACTTTTGCTGTTTTTCTTCCATACTGATTTTAGATTGTTTGTGTTGTATTAAGGATAATGTGTGAAGAGCATGGATATCAAAGAAGTGGAAAAAAATGCAGGGAGAAGTTTGAAAATCTATACAAATACTACAAGAAAACAAAAGAAGGAAAAGCAGGAAGACAAGATGGAAAACATTACAGGTTCTTTCGTCAACTCGAAGCCTTATATGGCGAAAACAACAACCCTTCTTCATCTTCACTCCCACAAAACAATTTCGGAACCAACAACAATCCGGAAATGTTTCAATCTCACAACAAATATTGTGATAGTCTCAGCCTCACAAACTCCACTGAATTCGACACGTCTTCATCTGATAACGAGAATGACCATAGCATCGAGGGAGTCAAGGAAAACGAGGGCTCGATGGATAAGAGAAAAAAGAGGATGAGTGGAAGAAGCTTTTGGAAGGTAAAGATAAAAGACTTCATTGATTCACAGGTGAAGAAATTGGTGGAGAAGCAAGAGGAATGGTTGGAGAAGCTCACGAAAACACTGGAACAAAAGGAAAAGGAGAGAGTGTTGAGAGAAGAAGAATGGAGGAAACAAGAGAAAGAGAGGTTGGAAAAAGAGCATAATTTTTGGGCTAAAGAAAGAGCATGGATTGAAGCTAGAGATGCTGCTTTAATGGAAGCTTTGCAGAAACTAAAAGGAAACGACGAAACAATAATAAAAACTCAATCTTCTTCTCACGACGGACACAAAAAGAGAAAGGAAAACACAAGAGGTTGTTTCTACTTTGATAATAACAACAATGTTGAAAGGTCTTGTTTATATAACAACAATGGAGTTGGAGTTGGAGTAGGAGTTTCTTATTGTGATGATCAAAGGGAAGTACAAACAAACGACGGTTCGAATTCGAACAACGTTGTTGTTGCAGCTGAAAATTGTTTTCCATTTTTGATGGGGGAGGGAGGAAATTTGTGGGATAATTACAGCTTGAAGGTTAATAAACCTAATCAAAACCAGTGATTAGTGAATATTAATTAATTCACAAGTATTTTATGTTGAAATTAAACTGAAAAGTTAGTTTTGTAAGAATCTAAATTCAAAGTCTTGTTGAAATAGTTTTTGATTATTTATTTTGGGTGAATATTGAGTAGTTGTTGACAGAGTTTTTTTCTCCAGAAACATCAGAGGTTAAAACAAAAACAAAAAATTGTGTTCAGATATACTCGACACTAATTCAGGTGAGTGTTTCTCATGCCTCTTTTTCTTTGTCATGTTTGTCTCCTTACTCTCTTCCATGCATGTATTATTCTTTCCTAACAATTTTTTTTGGATATTTAAGTTAGTAGTTTATGGACACTCATTTATTCTATCTATCTATTGAATATAAATTATTTTTCATGGTGGTTGGTGGTAGAGTTCCGGTGGTCTAATGGTGGTTCGTGGTAGAGTTCTGACGACGGCCGCCTACTGCCACCACTGTAATTATGATAAATATTATTTTTGTAAAAAATTACTTTTTAAATAATAAATATATTTTTTAATAGTGTCAAGCTAAGTTGTTAACATGATAGCCATGAAACATTAACCTATTAAATAGTTTGGGCCTGTGTCCTGTAATTAAAATGCAAATCATCTCCTTGTCTCAAAATAAATTGAAGGCTTTATTATTAAAACTAATGTTTTAAGTGTATTAAAATAATATATACTCCTTTATTCTTTATTATAAATAAAAATTGACTTTTTATTCATGGAATGTGGAATAGCTAATATAGTTGAATTATGTATGAACAACTAAGTTTTATTCTATTAAATTGAGTCAGTTAAATAGATTAAATTTACTATAATTTTTATCTAATATAATGTTTATGGGTCTTTTTTTTGTTTTAGCTTTAAAATATAAATATATAATATTATAAAAATCATTTTAAAAAAGTTAAAACAATGAAACCCTTAACTAACTTGTAAACTTCCATAGATTTTAAATACTTTATTTTTCTCATCCTATTTGCCTTTAGTTGTTTAATTGTTGTTCATCAGATCTATTCTCTTTACAAAAGACTTTTTATAAGTTTTCTTTTTATATTTTTAAACTATTAAATTTATTTTTCACCATTTTTTTAATTATACGTGTTAATTCAATATTTTTTTAAATATTATTATATTTGTGGGATTTTGGATCGAACTCTAGTATGATCGAAGTACATGCTGTAGTCGAAGAAGGGTCTAGCATGTATTTGTCGAAGGATGCTTGTTAAATTAGGTTTTAGTGTTTAAACCCTAATTTGTTAAGTTAGCTTGATTGTTAAGTTAGCTTGTATAATGGGTCTTGTGGAAAAAGCCCATTAGTTAGTATGTTAGGTTTTATTATAAATAGCATACTAGTCTCTCATCATTGTATCACAGAAAATCCTAAATAAATGGTGAGAGGGTTATTTGTTATTCTTGTAAACTTGTAATCTTGTTTTCTAAGAGAAAGTAAAGAATAGCAGTGATAACCAATTCTTGTGTTCTTCTTCTTCCTTGTTCTTTATTCTTCCCGAATTCTATACTTTGTTATTGGCATTGAATTCACATCAAATTGGTGCGGTGAGCGTGGAGAAGATGCCTTCAACAAAGTATGAGATTGAAAAGTTCACCGGAGTGAATGATTTCGGTCTATGGCGCTTGAAGATGAAAGCCCTACTGGTTCAGCAGGGTTGTTTGGAAGCGTTGAAGGGAGCGACGGCGATGGACGCTGCGCTAACAGAAAGAGAGAAGACGGCCATGATCGAGAAAGCACACAGCGCAATTCTGTTGAGCCTTGGTGACAAGGTTCTTCGACAGGTATCAAAGGAGACGACGGCATCAGGGTTATGGGTGAAACTTGAAAGTTTGTATATGACCAAATCTCTGGTAAATCGACTCTACCTGAAGCAAGCTTTGTACTCATTCAAGATGATTGAAGACAAAGTGTTGGCTGAGCAGTTGGATATGTTCAACAAGCTGATTCTTGATCTTGAAAATATTGATGTAAATATTGATGATGAAGATCAAGCGTTGTTATTGTTGTGCGCTTTGCCCAGATCACATGCTCATTTCAAATAAACCCTCTTGTATGGAAGAGAGTCCCTGACCTTTGAAGAAGTTCAATCAGCCTTGTACTCTAAGGACTTGAACGAACGTAAGGAGCATAAACCTTCGACGGTTGGTGAAGGTTTGGCTGTTAAAGGAAAATTCGACAAGAGGAAAGAAAAGAAAAATCAGTCGAAGTCTTATAGTGGTGATGCATCTGGTATTAGATGCTATCACTGTAAGAAAGTAGGTCACACAAGAAAGGTGTGCCCTGAACGCCTGAAAGATCATGGATGTAAGGATAATGGCAATGCAGCTATTGTCCAAGATGATTTCGAATCATCTGATGTTCTTGTGGTTTCACGCAACAACTCGTCGAAGGAGTGGATTATGGATTCTGGATGCACTTGGCACATGACTCCAAACAAAGACTTGTTCGAGGAATTATGTGATCAAGATGGTGGATCTGTATTGCTGGGAAACAACAAAGCTTGCAAGATTGCAGGCGTTGGATCTGTGAGATTCAAGCTCTATGATGAGTCAATAAGATTGTTGACTGAAGTCAGGTATGTACCTGATTTGAAGAGAAATTTGATTTCTCTTGGTGAATTCGATAAGAAAGGATATGTTTTTCAAGGAGAGAAAAGTATCCTGAAAGTCATGAAAGGGTCGAAGGAAGTCTTGAGAGGCGTGAAGAAACAAGGCTTGTATACCCTTGAGGCTGAAGTTGTAAGTGGTTCGACAAATGTTGCATCCACGAAACCTTTGTCGAAAACAGAAATTTGGCACATGAGATTGGGCCATGTCAGTGAAAGGGGTCTGGTTGAATTAGGGAAACAAAATCTGCTTGGTGAAGATAAAGTCGAAAAGCTGAAGTTTTGTGAACCCTGTGTACTTGGAAAGTCCTGTAGAATGAAGTTCAACAAAGGCAAACAAAGAACACATGGATCCCTTGATTACATCCATGCTGATCTTTGGGGGCCTGCAAGGTGTCCATCACATTCAGGAGCAAAGTATTTTCTATCCATAGTAGATGACTATTCCAGAAAGTTATGGGTATTCATCCAGAAGACTAAGGATGAAACTTTTGAGAATTTCAAAAGTTGGAAGACTCTTGTCGAAAATCAAACTGGCAGAAAGGTAAAGAGGTTGAGAACCGACAATGGCCTTGAGTTTTGCAATGAGGAGTTCGACAATTTTTGTGTTGCCTCTGGTATTGCAAGGCACAGAACTACCGCAGGTACTCCACAACAAAATGGTTTGGCTGAAAGGTTTAATCGAACTATTTTGGAGAGAGTTAGATGCATGTTGACTAGTGCGGGATTAAAGAAGGTGTTTTGGGCTGAGGCTGTTTCGACAGCAGCATATCTGATAAACAGATGTCCTTCGACAACGTTAGATATGAAGACACCTGAAGAAGTTTGGTCGGGACATCCACCAGATCTCGACAAACTAAGAGTATTTAGCTGTGTAGCCTATGCTCACATTAGGCAAGACAAGGTCGAACCTAGAGCTCTGAAATGCATGTCTATGGGATACCCTGAAGGAGTGAAAGCCTATAGGCTATGGTGCCTAGAGCCAGGTCACAGGAGGTGTATCACCAGTCGAGATGTAGTTTTCAATGAAACTGAAATGGCTTTAAAGAAAACTGATGATGTTGACGAAGAGCTGGAACAGGTAGAGATTCCTGTTGAGGTGGAGCATGTTGATGCTGAAATGCGTATCCCAGATGAAGTCGAAGTAGAAACAGAAGATTCTGATGATGTTGAGGAAACTGTTGATGACTACCTATTGTCGAGAGATAGGCAAAGAAGAGTCATAAAACCACCCCAGAGACTTGGATATGCAGATCTTGTAGCTTATGCCTTAATCTCTGCAAGTGAAGTTCTAGACGAAGAACCTAGAGATTATAAGGAAGTTATAAGGAGTCGAATGAAGACTGAATGGCTAAAGGCCATGCATGATGAGATGAAATCTCTCCATGATAATCACACTTGGGAACTAATCAAGAAACCTGTTGGGGCAAGGTTAGTCAGCTGTAAGTGGATTTTCAAAGTTAAGGAAGGAATTGAAGGAGTAATGTCGAAGAGGTACAAGGCAAGATTAGTTGCAAGGGGTTTCACTCAGAAAGAATATGTCGACTTCAATGATGTATTTTCCCCTGTTGTGAAGCACAGATCCATTCGAATGTTGCTTGCCATGGTGGCTCAGTTCGACCTTGAACTGGAACAAATGGATGTGAAGACTGCGTTCTTGTATGGTGACTTAGATGAAACAATTCTGATGAGGCAACCTGAAGGGTATGTCGAAAAGGGGAAAGAAGATTATGTGTGCAAACTGAAGAGATCTTTATATGGACTTAAACAATCTCCTCGACAATGGAATAAGAGATTCGACAAGTTCATGGAACACATAGGTTTCATTAGAAGTCAGTTCGACCATTGTGTTTACTCCAGATTTCGACCTGAAAATTCATTTGTAATTTTGTTGCTTTATGTTGATGATATTCTGATAGCAAGCAACAATGTCGAAGATGTAACGAGGGTGAAGGCTGAACTCAATAAGGAGTTTGACATGAAGGATCTGGGAGCTGCATCTAGGATTCTTGGAATTGACATTCGAAGAGATAGAAAGCAGTCGAAACTATGCTTATCTCAAGAGGCATACCTACGAAAGATTCTTGACAAGTTTGGTATGTCGAACTCAAAGCCTGTTGTGACTCCAACAAACCCTCAATTCAAGCTGAGTATTGATCAATGTCCCAGTACTGATGTTGAAAAAACCTATATGAACAGCATCCCATATGCTAATATAGTTGGTTCTTTGATGTATGCTATGGTCTGTACTAGACCCGACATAGCATATGCAGTAAGTCTTGTAAGCAGGTACATGGCGAATCCTGGAAAGGCTCACTGGCAAGCGTTAAAGTGGATTCTAAGGTACATAAATGGGTCTCTGAACAGAGTCTT